AAGATGGTGTCAGTACAATTAATACCACCACCATTGGCCGAGTCCCTTAGCTCTAGGCATGCATTCATAGTACTTTAGATGCATAATTCATGGAATGCCTCATCATGGTGTTCAACAAATACACAGGTTAAGATGTTTCGCTAAAAGATCAAAGGACCGTACAGTACTTTATCAGGTGTCCTCGTACTTTAATCATAATAGTTCAGGGCAAAACTGTATTTTATTATACTATACATAGGGGTAGAGCGAACTGCATTTCTTAAGTAACAGCCAAACCCATGAAGATCGGGGTTGGAATTCACCTTCAGCAATCAACGCTTGTGGAAATGAGATCAGGTAGTCATTCATTGGTTGACTCATGAGATCAGGTAGTCATTCATTTGTTGACTCATGAGATCAGGTAGTCATTCATTTGTTGACTCATGAGATCAGGTAGTCATTCATTGGTTGACTCATGTCAATGTATACCAGTTGCACAGAATCAGGATGTTCAGGATGAAAATCACTGGATTGTCTGTCAGAGACTCTAATATCAACATACCACTGTCAGATACTTGGACTATTGCTGATAACAGTATTAACAAAAAAGGTTTTAGCAGTTGTAGTTGCTTAGTTTACAAGTTTGCTTATCCATATCAGGTTAACAACCACCAATGATATCAATGTCACCAACAGTCAGCCTCTGTCAAAATATACTGTCAAAATTAGTTTTTTTATCTTCCATTATTGTTTGAAAAATGAAAATTTAAACAACTACTGAAATGTTTTTCGACAAAAGCGTTTGGAAGCAGTGGTGTCTACATTTAGGTGCCATCCTGAAAGAGTGTAAGCAGAATCTGATCAATAGCTGCATGGAGCGTGAAGCTGGAGCTATTTACAAACCGATGACCCCTGATTTTCAGTACAAGATTAGAAACAGGCAATCGAAAATCTTCGTTGGAGTTCTCCTTCACTTAGCTCAAAATATTTATGGGTGTATACCAAGATGAAGGAATCAGATGAGACCAGTGTCAAACCATTGACTTCAACAGTAACAACACACTCTGCCCTGCAGAGTTAACATGCTTGTTTTTCATTCACTTTAAACATTATAATTTGGAAGTTATTTTATTTTAATTTCATTATGACAAGCTGCAATGACTTTGGACCCAGAATTTGTTAAGGAACTAATATAACAATAAAGGTGAGATATCAGGCAAGGCTAGTTCTGTTTCCTCTGCTGTGCACAAGCCTACCCTAAAGCGTTGCCTTGTTTGAGCATTTCAAGTAGTGATCAAGAAGAGTAAGTTTGGTTTTACGCTGCTTTTAGCAATATTCCATCAATATCATGGCGGGGTACACCAGAAATGGGCTTCACACATTGTACCCATGGGAGGAATCGAACCCAGGTCATCGGCATTACAAGCAAACACTTTAACCACTAGGCTAGGTCCCCACCGCCCCTGATCAGAAAGAACTAATTTTGGCTAACACTACTGTTTATTAACACAAAGATATTCTTCTGTTTCTTCAGACTTTTACGATAATCAGGTTGACCTTTATCAATCTGTTTCTTGTCTATGCACAAGAATACCATAATTCTGCCTTATTAAAGCATTTGGAAGTAGTGACCAAGGAAATCTATCTCTGCTGACTACTATTTATTAATACAAAGAGTATTTTCTGTTTCTTTATATTCTCACAATAATTATGTTGACCTTTATCAATATCACAGAAAACAAAATGCAAAAGATAAAAGCACATAAGTTAAGCGACTTTTCAACCAAACGAGCCAAGGGGCTGATTATAAACATATCCTATTCCATACCTTGATTTCTTCAGTGTATCGCAACCCTACCCTTGATAAGATAGTATGTCCCATTGTACAGCATCATCTAATTGAAACAGACATATCATTACCAGGACAATTAAGTTGAAACGAGATGCCCTGGTAGTGCTTCAGGCCTTAACATTTCAAGGAAGCAAAGATCACAAACTATCTTCTGCTTTGTCACATTTCTAGTCAGCAAATGGGAAAGGGTTATTATTTGTAAATTATCTCATGTAATGTGATAAGATTCTGCCCTGGGGTTATTTACACCGGTCATGTGGTTTCAATAGGCATCAACATGCCTCATAAACACCACCATTAAATCCACAAGTTCTTGATAAGGCCAGATGTGTTTTCTTCTAATTTATCACAATCACTTAATGGAGAATTAATTGTGTCGTTAACTACTAACCTAATTACCTTTATAAGAGCAAAGGACCATGTTCCACCCTCCATTGGCCTACTTCATCCTACATATCACACACGCTGGACTGATCCATCTTACTCAGTGTGTGTTGTTTAATGAATGCCTCACTCAGCAATATTCTAGCAACCTGGAATGATCGAGTTTGGACCTGACAATCCAGTGATTGACATCACGAGCAATGTTCCTTTCTGTCCGGGAATCTGGACATGCTATCAATGAAGTTGGAGCTGTTTCTAATACAGCTGCCTTCTATGATAGCAGTGGAGACAAATCTACCCAACTGCAAGCCACGTTTACTTTGGAATATACACCAAGGAATACCTTACTTGACACATATGAGCCAAATAGGCATAGTCCTAAGTATAGTTTATTGTTCACTTTTGAAAATATTCCAGTATTGTCATGAAATATCTACTGATTCAGGTATTCAGAAAATTCTGGAAAGCCAAGCTTCCTGTGTTCTTTGGCTGATGTACACAGGAAGATGGAGATTTTAAAAAAGAAGAAGGGTGCACGCTTTCATTGTACAAAGTGAACTAATGTACAACCTAGTTTAAAAGTTGCTGATTATGACCAGAAAAGGGAATGGTAAGAGCATGTCCACAGGGAACATGAAGACTGAAAGGGGCACCTGTACAGCAACTAACAGATGAACTGTTCTTCAACAGGCAGATAAGACCATTATGAAGAAACACAAAAATGCTTCATAGTGAACTATTTATCAGTTCATGCCATACATAACTCTAGAAAATTTATTTTTGAACTAGAGAAAATGGACTGATCCAGGTGCTTCCAGAAAAGTCTCCTCAACCATGTCAAGATAGGCCAGAATCAGGAACTAAGCAACCAGTTGTATGATAGCACTGTCTGTCCCTGTCATTCATCATCCAATATCAGGCCTATACTGTTTCGTACCACCATATTCATGTAATTGGGCTGTCAGTTTTGAGAAATGTATATTTGATACAACCCTCTCTAATATCTTTAAGATGCAAGCACCACCTGTATAACCACACCAGGGCTACACAAGAGGTTACATGGAGTGATGCATATTCCTACAGACGAAAGATAATATTATGGCCCTTTTCAATCAAAGGATGCAAACAGAATAAAAACAGGATGCTTTATAAAATTGAAGAGTCTCCATTTGCTCAGTACATCAATGATATCAAGTGTCCATGTCTGGAGATGACTTCACAGACTGTTTGCCCTTGATGTACTTGAGGCACATAACAATCCACAAAATTGAACGCAATCAGGTCACCTCCAGTTCCTGACACTGAAAAGGTTTTGATGCTTACAAATTCAGCAATAAACACATAATTACATTTCCTAATATTTTAACAACCAATAAACACAGCTACATTTCTGACATCAAAACTCGACAATAAATGCATACAGCTACATTTCCTTGTACTAAACCCTTCAATAAACATGTACAGCTACATTTCCTGATAGTAAACCCTCCAATAAACATGTACAGCTATATACCCTCAATAAACACATACAGCTACATTTCCTTGCATTAAACCCTCATTCACAGCTACATTTCCTTGCATTAAACCCTTAATAAACTAACAGCTACATTTCCTTGTACTAAACCCTCAATAAACACATACAGCTACATTTCCTTGTATTAAACCCTTAATAAACACACAGCTACATTTCCTTGTACTAAACCCTCAATAAACACATACAGCTACATTTCCTTGCATTAATTTTATTGATTAAACCCTCAATTAACACACACAGCTACATTTCCTTGTATAAAACCCTCAAAAACACATACAGCTAGATTTCCTTGCATTATACCCTTAATAAACACACAGCTACATTTCCTTGTACTAAACCATCAATAAACACACACAGCCACATTTCCTTGTATTAAACCCTCAATAAACACATACAGCTACATTTCCTTGCATTAAACCCTCAATAAACACACACAGCTACATTTCCTTGTATAAAACCCTCAAAAACACATACAGTTATATTTCCTTGCATTAAACCCTTATTCACAGCTACATTTACTTGTATTAAACCCTCAATAAACACATACAGCTACATTTCCTGATAGTAAACCCTCCAATAAACACACACAGCTACATTTCCTTGTACTTATCCCTACAATACAACATACAGCTACATTTCCTTGTACTTATCCTCCAATACAACACATACTTACAGCAATACAACACACAGCTGTATTTCCTTGTATAAAACCCTCCAATACAACACACAGCTACATTTCCTGATAGTAAACTCTCCAATACAACACACAGCTACATTTCCTGATAGTAAACCCTCCAATACAACACACAGCTACATTTCCTGATAGTAAACCCTCCAATAAAACACACAGCTACATTTCCTTGTACTTAACCCTCCAATACAACACACAGCTACATTTCCTGATAGTAAACCCTCCAATACAACACACAGCTACATTTCCTGATAGTAAACTCTCCAATACAACACACAGCTACATTTCCTGATAGTAAACCCTCCAATACAACATACAGCTACATTTCCAATTCAACAAAACAGCTCCTAACTTGGCTACACCATTTTAATGTAAATGTTTCTGCCGCTGTCGATGAAAATTATACATTGTGTGGTTAATTTCTTTAGTTTTCCATGCGACCAGTCAAATAGTTTTGTTTCACATAAGGTGATCCATCTCGCTAATGGCCAGGGGTCCCATGAGAGGATCTTGTTGTACAGAGCTGCACAGAGCAATCAATGTCGTTGGTCATGTCTTACCTTTTCATACGTTCCCTCAATACGTTTCTTTTCATGGAAAATCTCTGGTACTATGTTCTCATATTGATGAAATATCTCCACTCCATTTTGTTTGGGAGGAAACTGGTCTGCAAATAAAGAAATAGATGAATTAGTCATTGAAAATAATCCTGTAACTATGGCAACCTGCCAGATTTAACAAAAATCCAGTAAATCTACTTGATACATGAGTTTTCTTGTACAATTCCGTAGCAGGCAATATTTATTTCTGGTGGTTAAAGAGAATGTGAGTCAATAGAAACTGATTTAAGACTGACATTATTCTTCAACCAGTGGCTACACTATCAGCTGCCTTCATCAATAATACATTCTACAATAGACTGCCGTTTCTTACTGTTGAGCTTTCGGCCACCTGAGCACGTATTTGCTGTTCCGTTTTTTGCCACCTGCGATGGAGTTGCCTAAATTAAGTACTTCAGTCAAGGCGTACTTGTCATAACCAAAGTTAAAGATTTAGGGGGTCCTAGATTCAAATAAGACATGGCCACTCTTAATTTCCATCAACATTCTGGAGTATTTGAAATTAAGGACATTCCTGGCATTCAATGTTTAATAGTCTTTGAATCTAGAGTCAATCAAATGTCTTACTTGACCATTAAGTGTATGATGAGGACTTTTTAACTTTGATGCTTAATTTCAGCTGTCATTCTGTATTATTGATGTTCTTTAGTTTTTTCGGTTATGTAGCTATTATTTCAAGGAGATTCTTTGCTAAATTGTCACAGGTGCCATTCACTGCCAAAATCGATACAATGAAATCTGGTTCTTCAAGTTCTTGGGGCCATCCATTTATTGAGTTATCAGTGGTCATGAAAGGACAATGTAAAAGCATAGTCAGGTTTGTGTTGATAATGTTTCTGCTTCAACCATAATGAGATTTTTTAATCCGAGTTACCACATGTGGACAAATTAATTTTCAAACAAGAAGATTATAATCTTGTAATATTATATATATTACATAACAAATATGTCTCACAAAAAGTTCAAATATTTGCATTATTTTCAACGTCAAAAACAGAGACTTAAAAGTTCCAAATGACAGAAATATCTGTGATATGTGGGAAGTTTGTGAAAGTGAAGAACCTTTTATTGCTTTGCAAGAGCATAACAGAAACCACATTCATTCTTTGCTGAAGATAAATTAGAATAAACATGGACCTTGGACTGATTTGATTTAATGTTTCTTAAATCAAAATAGTTTCTCTTCCATTCATGAAAATATCTATGGGAACACATAGAAAGCAAAACATATATAAATTGAGTTGGATTCAATTTGAAAATATAACTGTCATCAGGTGGGAACTATTTTGAAACACATGAGTGGGGGAAAATAGCGAACATGAAAATGAACTTTGGTGAACCCAAACATCTCAGTGAGACAATGGGAAGCAAATGTTAGAGGTCAGCCAGTTCCCTTCCTTGAAGTCATCAGCTTGCATAATGTATACAACCAACAACAGGCTGGATGTTTAGGCTGGAACTGCAACCATGGTGGGCAGCCTCATAATCACGTTATACCATGTATATGTGCTGATTCAGCAACCTCTAGGCCCTTTGGGATCTAGCTGGTACAGCATTAGCCAATCAATTCAGGGTTTAGTACATACAACACCTTGGTCATTCAGGATCTAGCTGATTAAAGTGATTTGGTAACTTCTAGGAAATTTATGATCTACCATACACTGATTCAGCAAACTCTGGTTCTCTCAGGATCTAGCTGATACAGCAATAGCCAGTCAATTCAAGATCTAGCACATTCATAAAACTTAAGTCCTAAAGGATCCAGCTGATTTGGTAACATCTCGGCTATTTAGGATCTACAAATATCTATGCCAATCACGATTTGGCAATACATGGCAGTCATGATTTAGCTGATTCAGCAAAATTCAGGCCAAACAGGATCTGGCTGAGTGCAACATTTGGGTCATTTAGGATCTACTAGCTGATTCAGCAGAATCAACGGCATTCAGTATCTAACAGATTCAGCAACATCTAGGCCATTCATGATCTAGCTGATTCAGCAGGATCAAGGGCATTCAGTATCTAACAGATTCAGCAACATCTAGGCCATTCATGATCTAGCTGATTCAGCTCAAGGCATTCAGTATCTAACAGATTCAGCAACATCTAGGCCATTCATGATCTAGCTGATTCAGCAGGATCAATGGCATTCAGTATCTAACAGATTCAGCAACATCTAGGCCATTCATGATCTAGCTGATTCAGCAGGATCAATGGCATTCAGTATCTAACAGATTCAGCAACATCTAGGCCATTCATGATCTAGCTGATTCAGCAGGATCAAGGGCATTCAGTATCTAACAGATATAGCAACATCTAGGCCATTCATGATATAGCTGATTCAGCAGGATCAAAGGCATTCAGTATCTAACAGATTCAGCAACATCTAGGCCATTCATGATATAGCTGATTCAGCAGGATCAAAGGCATTCAGTATCTAACAGATTCAGCAACATCTAGGCCATTCATGATCTAGCTGATTCAGCAGGATCAAGGGCATTCAGTATCTAACAGATTCAGCAACATCTAGGCTATTCATGATCTAGCTGATTCAGCAGGATCAATGGCATTCAGTATCTAACAGATTCAGCAACATCTAGGCCATTCTAGCTGATTCAGCAGGATCAATGGTATTAAGTGTCTAACAGATATAGCAACATCTAGGCCATTCATGATATAGCTGATTCAGCAGGATTAAAGGCATTCAGTATCTAACAGATTCAGCAACATCCAGTTCATTTTTGGGATCTAGTTCAATCAGCAATGTCTCCAAGCCATTCATAATCTAGATGATTCAGCACTATCTGTATCCAGAGAAGAGCATCCTGACATTAGCAAGACAAGTTTGTTTACCTTATCATTGTGCTTATACTAATTCATTGCTCATCACTTAATCTTAAGGAAATGCCATATGGAGCAAACATCACATTAAGAAGCAGGAACACATTTTCACATTTCAGCAGACTGGAAACTAATTGCAATATGCTGTCTGTAAGCAGCTGTGTAAACATTTCCTGTAATATATATACACACATGTTGAGTGAAATATTGGTCATTAATCATGTTATTAGACACATCAAACATGGAATGAACTATAGGCATGGCAGGCAATTGTTTTTTTAACTCTGCTGAATCATATTTTTCTGGAATGATGTGATGGGTGTCCACAACCCATTGTATGTCATGTGAGTTTTAGTGAATATATTTCGTTATGTTAACTAACAAACACATTATTTTTGTTTCTTTCACACACCACATTGAAATATTTAATAAATGGATTCTGATTCCATCCCATTGGCTAGAATTATCACAAGTTTCAACAGCCCTGTTGACCCATGGTGACATAAACATTCATCAGGTATGTGTGACGTAATCAACATTCCTTGTACTTGTACACACTGGAACATTTATAGTCATATCTAATAAACAAGTATTCACCATTAAAACATTATGGGTTTTGGGGTGATTTGCAGGTATTATAACATGTTTGATGTTCAGAAATTTTGACATTTAAATTCTAAGAGTAATGAAAACTTTATGAAGAACATATCTACCATTAAAACATTATGTTTTTTGGGTGATTTGTAGGTATTATTGCTTGTTTCATGTCCAGAAATTTTGACAGTTAAACTCGAAAGCTAATGAAAACTTTATGAGAACATTACATACACAACAAGCACAAATTTGAAAACACATGTACATTTTATCAACATTTCAAATTGATAACTGACAGTAATTTTCGGTGGCTTTTACAGTGGCAATTCCAAGTGTGACATGATGCTACTCTAGATACTATTTCATCATAATACAGGGTTGGTATCATGTTCTTCTGTAACAACTGAACAGCGGTGGGGTAGTCTAGTGGTTGAAAGGATATTGTACAGTGAAGTGAGGTTGAATTTTGGGTACAATGAGTGAAGCCCATTTCTGGTGTCCCACACCGCGATATTGCTGGAATATTGCTTTGGGTATAACCAATCCTCAGTCAGTCAGTGTAACAACTGAACACATCTGGTCTGCTAAATATGAAAGGATATAATACAGTGAGTGAGTGAGTGAGTTTTGGTTTTACACTGCTTTCAGCAATATTCCAACAATAGAAATGGGTGGAACACCAGAAATGGGCTTCACACATTGTACATCGAACCCAGATTTTCGGCGTGACGAGCAAACGCTTTTCCACGAGGCTACCCCATCACTCCAATATAATATAGGAGTAACTTAACCAAACTGACATGATAAACATTACTCAAACTTAATGTGTTATCATGAGGTATCCATTTTAACCAGATTAAAATTCCCAGTCAAAAGTCCAGAAATGTCATGGTATCATCAACAACATTTTACAATATGTTTCAACCAATCAAATAACAGCAAACCTCCTGCCTATTCTTTTTAAACAATGTGGTTTATATCAGAATCAAGTCTGGATTGAGTGGGTGAGTAGTCAGGGAGTATAATTTAACGTCAGTTGTCAGTGACGCTTTCAGCAATAATGTAGCATGTACAACTTTTATGAATATCACAGCAGGGGGCAACAGAAATGGGCTTCACACATTGTAGTCATATGGGGAATCGAACCCGGGTCTACATCGCATCGAGAAAATGCAAGGCAACCCAACCATCCTTGCTCAAAGTTGGGACAGAAAATGTTGAAGAGGCCTAGTACAGAACTTGTAGAACATTCTTCATGTCAGAGTCTAGCAGGCAAGCAAGTTCTTGTGCTGCTAGATCAGTTGGATGCCTGAATTCAGAACATGTGACAGAGAATTGCTGACGTTGCAAAACAACAAAAACACTTCTCAAAATACACATTCTAGCTCCATATGTTTGCACTTCTCTATGAATACATATTTGACAAAATCTGCCATCACTTGATTGACATGGTATATGTTCTGTATAAACCTTCAAGACAATGAGTATTGATAAATATCAGCATGTATACACACATGATATATACATGTATACAGAGGAAGCATGTGCACCATATGGGCTGGAAATATCAGTATATTCTACACAACCCTCCTGGACATTTCCCCATACACTT